ATTTTAGCATGATTTAGTACTTTTAAATTATGATCATTTTCATTCTGACTTGTTAATTTGCAATATTTGTTTTACGCGATTTCATTATTATTATTTTTGTTGGATATTTTAGTGTCATTAATCATATCATATTGTGTTATATTTTTAAGAAACATCTTAGATAGTTGTATTTTGGTAGGACTAAAGAAATATTTGAAGTACAAGTAAATTATATGTTGTGTATGAATACTTTACCGGAAAAACCCGAAACAACCCGAAAAACCGAAAAACCCGAAAAAACCCGAAAAAACCCGAGGTTGAAAAACCCGAGTTTTATTGGTTTGGTTTGGTTCATAAATTTAAAAATCCGACACAAATGGTTTGGTTTGATATTTGAAAAACCCGAACCAACGCGGCCGTGTACACCCCTACATTGTGTAGTTGGAGATTCAAGTGGAGAAGTAATTTTGATGTTTTTCGTAATAATATTCGATGTTTTTAATATTTATAGTACATAGTATATTGATTTTAGAAAACTAGATAGTAACCAAAAATTAATTACCATACATTTTTGTTGAAAAAATTGGTTTTAATGGCGACTTTTAGTTGCCACTAAAAATAGTGGCTATTTTCCTTGAGTCGCCACTAAATATCAGTGAAAACCTTTAGTGACGATAGTATGGGATTTTGTAGTGACTTTTGTCACTGCTAAAGGTCTAGTTTCTTGTAGTGAATCCTAGTTGGCAAAACTTAGGAGTAAGAATTAGTCCCACATGGCTTGCCACATCACTAGAAATTTGGATTGTTAGCTCTTGAGGATATTTGTGGTCTCTTGGGATAACAATAGGGGAGTTTTTTTTATCCCAAAATGTAACGGGCCACATAATAAATAATAATTATTATTATTATAAAAGAAAAAGGTCGTTAGTGTTAAGGGTAAAAGTGGACCATAAAAATGGATTGAGTGATATTTTTAGCCAAATAGGTAAAATGTGGAGTATATTTATACCTTTTTAATATCCAAGAGTAACTTTAGCCCTTTTTCCAATTTTTCAATTATACATATCGAATTAACAAAATCTCAAATCATTCAAATTTGTAGTTTGCTGTCCTTCCACTGCATTTCTTTAGTGATTAATATGCGACAAACGTACAAAGTCCGTAACAAGAAATTTTAAAGGATAAGCATATATATTATGGTATTCATATATTCATATATCCACTACTTATATAAAAGTGTGGATAACCACACAGGTGACAGTACCTGTGTGGTTCCACACCCTATTTTTTCCTCCTCTGTTATAATATATATATATATATATATATATATATATATGTATATATATAACACTATTGGAGGCTATAAAATTATCTTAGGTAGCTTCACATATTTCTTCCGAAAATGTACTGTCCATTTGTTATGGACTTTATTTTTAATGAATAAAATGAAAATAATAAAATTAATAAATTGTTAGCATCTTCTATTTTGTAACTCAATTTTTAATTATATAAAAATTTATAGTAATAATAATTCAAAAATTAGTATATTAATAAATTTGAAATAAAGTGTAAAAAATATAATAATAATTATTCACTTTATTTAATGTAGAGGTTGTTGTAATAAGTGAGAAATAGAATAGTGTTATTTAATATTATTAATTGCAATAGTGCAGATTATGAATAGGTCCTTTATTATCATTGTCTTATTTAATTTTTGATATAATTATTGATCTATATTGTCCGATTTGTTAGGCTATGTACACTGAATTGTTTGTGTATCTTTTTAATAATATTAATAAGCATAATTGTGTATGTATAGACAACATAATACATACACACATTTGTGCAAAACACTCTTAATTTTTAAACAGTTACAAATGATAAACACTAGCCTCGAAATGATACTATTTGTGCAAATCACTCTTAATTTTTACTGGACATCCATACCCTACAAAATTCAGAGCCAGCACAAACAAAAGAAATTTAAAGAGAAAATTAATATGTTATGCTACAATTTGCAACTATATTAAGCAAAGATTCAATCAAGAGCGTCCGTTGTTGAGATTTAAATCAAAGAGAAAACGTCAAACATTTTCCTTTTGACTTAAAATCAGTAAGACAAAATGGTTAAGTACACTTTAATATGAACTCATCGGTAATAATATCTACAAACGACAATAATGGTGACATGAGTGTGTATGATACAGACTACATATAGATTAAAAGTCAAGACTAGTATAAGCAAAGATTTCAACATACATGAAAAGAATTATGCCTAAGTATGAATATAATAAGGAAAGGAAATACCTTTTTATGCCATAAATAAAAGTATTCTATATATATAACGATACACTTCTCATACAAAATAATGTACTCAACACACAAAAAAAAAAATAGATTCAGAAGAGGGTGGCAGAGGCCGTCGTCCAGGTTCGAGCATTTTCAATGGATGATATAAGCTCTCACTACAGTATTAACAGTGACATTCTTCCTTCTCTTGGCGCCCATAGTAATAGCAAAATTATGCTCCGTAGCTACATCATTTCCCCTACTAATCCCCATTACAAGGCTTGGGATGCACTTTTGGTGCTTCTTGTTTTCTACACAGCATGGGCGTCAACTTTTCAGTTTGGATTTCTAGAAAGACCTCAAGGACTTATTGCCATCTTAGATAACATAGCTAATTGCTTTTTTTTTTTCATTGACATTGTCCTCACATTATTCTTTGTTGCCTATCTTGATAAATCAACTTACACTATGATTGATGACCCAAAGTGCATCGCTTCGAGGTATACAAAATCCAAGTTTATCTTTGATTTCATATCCACCATCCCTTTCGAAGCATTGCCCCACATTCTTCAATCATATGGATTCTTGAGTATGTTTCGTCTCTGGCGTCTCAGAAGAGTCAGTGCCATGTTTGTGAGATTGGAGAGAAACAGCAACTTCAGTTACTTTGGGGTTCGAGTACTGAAGCTTATATGTGTCTGTCACTCTTTTTGCTGTTCATTCTGCTGGCTGCTTCTACAACTTTCTTGCTGCTCGGCATAAAGACACCACAAAAACATGGCTTTCACTGGGAAATCTTCATGACAGGAGCATCTGGGATCTCTATGTAATGTCTATCTATTGGTCCATTACAACACTTACAACAACTGGCTATGGGGATTTGCACGCTGTGGCTACAGAGGAAATGATATTCAACAACTGACTGCATATCTTATTGGAAACATGACCAACTTAGTTGTCCATGGAACTAATAAGACACAGAAATTTAGGGATGCTATTCAAGCTGCCTCAAGCTTTGCACAGAGGAATAAGCTGCCTGTTCGACTTGAAGAACAGATGATAGATCACTTGACTTTGATGCACAGAACAGATTCGGAAGGTCTGCAGCAGCAAGAAACTCTTGAACCACTACCCAAAGCAATTCGATCTGCCATTTCACATCATCTATTCTATTCACTGGTAGATAAGGCCTACTTATTCCATGGGGTATCAAATGACTTACTTTTTCAACTGGTTTCTGAGATGAAGGCCGAGTATTTCCCTCCAAAAGAGGATGTCATTTTGCAAAATGAAGCATCTACAGATCTCTACATCCTCGTAACTGGAGCAGTGGATTTTATATCACACAGGAATGGTATGGATCATGTAGTTGGTGAGTTGAAGGCGGGGGATGTTTGCAGAGAAGTTGGTATCCTTTGCTGTAAGCTTCAACTTTTTACAGTTTGATAAGTCTTACTGTTCCAAGATGTTTTGATGATCTCCTCACAAATGCAGGGACCCGGTCCTCTGCAGAGTATGCTCGTCCAGTTCTATGTGCTATACAACTGGAAAGCTGTCGCGTCAGAGGTTGGTGAGGTCGTCAGTGTACCACACCAATCAGAATGGACGAGGTTGTTTTGTCCAACGGTCAATAACTCTTTATGGTTGATATAGTCAACATGACAACAAAAAATCACTCATTCATTCATTCAAAGAGAGAATATTCAAGCTTCAACAAAACAGCAAGGGACCTCATAGACTGACGAATTGCTTCCTGAACCAGCTGTTATTTTGATTGCTTGTATTTGTGCTTACATTGTAGGATTCGTTTCACATGTGTTAGAAACGTTTCAAACCTTGGGTGAATCACTGTAAGAGCTTAGTTAAGAGCAACTTTGTGTCTTACGTTAAAAGTTTATATTAATCAGTTGGGTTAGTATAGTGGGCAATGCAAGCATTGCTTTGGCTCATTGAGTGATAGTTGTACTACTCAGAATAGAGATTAGGAGGTTAATCTCGTGTGTGTTGTAAACTGTGTTTTACTTTTGCTTGAGAAGATTAGTAACAACATTTTGAAAATCCTGTGAGACAGGTCATGGTTTTACTCCCTTGAGCAAGGAGGTTTCCACGTAAAGTTGTGTGTGCTATCTTTCCTTTCAGTATTTTCTTTTGTTTATCTTAACTGTGTTAAGGACTTGGTCCTATCGTAACTAGTGGACACATACATTCCAACAAGTTGTATCAGAGCTTGACTTTTCTATTTGGGTAACACCAAGAAAAGAAAAGATCTTGAAGAAATGGCTGCTCTACCGAGACTGGAAGAAGGTCAGTTCACCACTAGACCACCTCGCTTCAACGGACAATTTTATGGATGGTGGAAGACGCGCATGCATGACTACACCAATGCTGAAGACACTAAGCTATGGGATGTGACTCTTGACGGACCTTACATTCCCACGAAAGATGTAGTAGATGGAGAACTCACCAAGGTGATTCCCAAAACCAGAAGGGAATACAATAAAGATGACAGGAAAAAGATAGAAAAGAACTATAAAGCAAAAAAGTTGCTAGTGTGTGGGATTGGTCCAGATGAGTACAACAGAATCTTTGCGTGCGAGACAGCTAAAGAAATATAGGATTGTCTCAAAACAGCTCATGAAGGAATGACACAAGTGAAGGAGTCTAAGGTAGATATACTAATGACTCAATATGAGAATTTATGTATGAAGGAAGGTGAAACCATCCACGAGATGAATACAAGATTCACTTCCATAACCAACGAACTAAGATGTCTTGGTGAGCCTATTCACCCAAGCAAACAATTTCGAAAGATTCTCAGGGTGCTTCCCAAGTCATGGGAGAGCAAAGTGAATGCTATCACTGAAGCATTAGACTTGAAGGTACTCACCATGGATGATTTCATGGGAAACCTTCAAACCTACGAGCTGAACAGGCAACAGGGCTCAACCGTGAATGAAGGAAAGAAAGAGAAATTAGTGGCCTTGAAAGTGTCTCTGAATGATGGGCTAGAAGAGGAGTATGAGATGGAATACCTCACTAAAAGGTTTCAAAAGATAATCAAAAAGCATGGAGGATTCCAAAAGAAAAGGTCTACCAGCAGAGCAACAAATGCAAATGATCTTTGCCACAAATGTGGGAAGCCTAGACATTTCATGAGGGACTGTCAAAGCCAAAAGCAGGAAGCTCAGGACTTCAAACCTCGTAAAAGGGACCAAGTCCCAGATCATGCCAAAAGAAAGGCTCACGCTGATCAAGTAGTGAAGAAAGTGTCTGCAGTCTAGGGAAATGGCTCCAGTGAATCAGAGGAAGAAGAGGACAGTCATGAAGATGTCTTAATGATAACCATCAAAGATGATGAAATCATGTTCAACTCCATTTTCTCACTGATGGCAAAATCAGACGATGAAGAGAACCAGGATGAGGTAACCCTTTTTTATCTCAAAAGTGATCTAGATATTTTATCCATTAAAAGGTTAAGAAAACTTGTTGTAGAGTACTAATTGACTCAGTAGATGAACTAACCACTAAGAATATGATGATAAGTGAAAAACAGTCTGTGTGAGGATGAAAATGCATCCCTTAACTCTCAAATGTCTGAATGAATGTTAGGATAAGTATTATAGAAACTGAGAGCATGTAGCCCAGCGAGGAACCTGGTACCTCTGAGGGTGGGAAATGGAAACTCAGTAGCTTTGAGGTCGAATTAGAAGAAAAGTTAAAGGTATCGTAGTTAAATTAGTGGCTTCTCTTGAAAAGAATTCTCAACTAATGAAAGACCTTAGTAAGATCAAAGAAGAGCAGAACCATTCCCTGAAATGGACTGATTCATTTAAGATCCTTTCGAACTTAGCCAATCAGAAGTTCAACAGCAAAAACAGCTTAGGTTGTAGACAGATGGAACCTCCCTACAACCCTCACAGTAAATATGTCTTTGTTTCTGACAATCTTTCGTGTACCCATTGTGGAAGAAATCATTCTCTGAAAGAAAAATGTGAGTCTCTAAAGAGAGTAAAAGAAAGGCAGGAGAATTTTCTCAAGTCGAGAAAAGGATATGTAGAAAAGAAAAAGAACATGGTCCCAGATACCGTTTTAGGAAGAACACTGTGCCCCCGTGGACATGAAGGTTTCTCATTAAACCTTCTAACAGTTTTTGGGAACTCCATCTCAAGTGGGTTCCTAAGTCTAATAAGTGATTCTTGTGCAGAAGAGAGGAAGCAGTCAGTGCTGGTACATGGATAGTTAATGCTCAAGGCACATGGCTGGAGACACTCAAAACTTCCTCTCTTTGGAAGCACACCAGGGCGGTGGTGTGTCGTTTGGTGATGGGAAAAAGGGTTTCATTCTCGGAATTGGGAAAATAGAAAGATCAACAGAACATTCAATAGACAATGTTCATTATGTGAATGGTTTGAAATACAATCTGTTAAGTGTATCTCAAATCTGCGATAAGGGAAATTAAGTTAAATTCTTATCTGACAGGTGCCTGGTGTGTAACTAACAAAGTTGTTATCTGCCAAAAGAGTCAAAAATATATATGTTGCAGATCTTGCCTCAATAGAAGGGGACAATCTCATGTGTCTAAGCGCTTAGACTGACAATGCAAATCTATGGCATAGATGATTGGGACATATGAGTTCGTCCTTGCTAAACAAGCTTGTTGCAGGGGACCTGGTCCGCGGACTGCCTAAGCTGAAGTTTTATGACAACAAAGTCTGTGAGGCCTGTGTAACGGGGAAACAAACGAGATCATCCTTCAAACCCAAGAAAGGTGTAAGCACAACCAGACCACTAGAACTTCTCCACATGGCTCTATGTGGACCTGTCAGAATCCAAATCAGAGGAGGTAAGAAGTACATTCTGGTAATTGTTGATGATTTCTCTAGGTTCACCTGGAACATGTTTTTGCGGTCCAAGGACGAGATAGCTGGACTACTGATCACTTTTTCCAAAGCAATTCAACTGAAGGTTAACTGCACAATTGCAACCATCAGATCAGACCATGGCACAGAGTTTGAAAACACTCAAATTGAAGGCTTTTGTGTTGAAAATGGAATTCATCACAACTTCTCTGCACCAAGAACTCCTCAGCACAATGGGGTTGTGGAAAGGAAGAACAGGACATTGGTGGATATTGCTAGAACCATGCTGATTGACTCAAGACTTGCAATGAATATGAATTTTTTGGCAGAAGTAGTCAACACAACTTACTATGTTACAAACATGTGTCTCATCATGTCAGTGATCAAGAAAACCTCATATGAGTTGCTGAATAATAGGAAATCTTCAATTTCTCATCTAAAGCCTTTTGGTTGCAAATGCTTTGTATTGAATAATGGAAGAATAATCTTGGCAAATTTGATGCCAGGAGTGATGAAGGGGTGTTTGTTAGGTAATCTTCTACTAGCAAGGCATACATAGTTTTCAATAAAAGAACTTTATGTGTTGAAGAAAATATGCATGTGATATTCGATGAATCTGATGATAAGAACAAGGATGAACACAATGAAGATATTGAATTGGAGGAACTGATGAAGGGTCAAAAAGACAAGGTAATCCAAACTCCTGGAAGTGAACAGGTTTCAAAGGACAGAAAAGGTACAGAACTCACAAAGGAACCTCGCCCCTCCGATGTAGCTCAGGAGGGAGACTCTTAGAACAAAGAGCATGAAGAAAATGAATCTGCTACTGATATTGAAGAGGAGATAACTAGAAAGTCTGGATGGAAACATCAATCTTCTCATACTTTGGACAATCTTGTTTCTCCACTTGACTCTGGAATACCTAAATCCAAAATAAGAAATCTAGTTGCATATTCAGCCTTCATATCCACCATTGAGCCAAAGAACATCAAGGAAGCTTTAAAGGATGCTGATTGGGTAACATCAATGCAGGAATAACTCCATCAGTTTGAGAGAAGCAAGGTATGGCACCGGGTCCCCAGACCTCTCAATAGAACCATTATCGGGACTAAATGGTTCTTCAGAAACAAACTTGATGAGAATGGGATCATCACCAGAAACAATTCAAGACTCGTGGTACAAATATATAATCAAGAGGAAGGGATTGACTATGATGAGACCTTTGCTCCTGTAGCCAGAATAGAAGCCATCAAAATCTTAATAGCTTTTGCTGCCTGCATGGAGTTCAAATTGTTTCAAATGGACGTTAAAAGTTCCCTCCTGAATGGGTATCTGAAGGAGGAGGTGTGTGTTAGGCAACCTCCAGGTTTTGAAGATGCTGATCTTCCAAACCATCTGCTAAAGCTGGACAAAGCCCTTTATGGTCTAAAGCAAGCTCCCAAAGCTTGGTATGAGCGCTTGTCAAAATTTCTTCTGGCAAACGGGTTTCAAGAGAGGTAAAATTCATAATACTTTATTCCTAAAGTCCAGAAGTAAAGAGTTGTTGATTGTGCAAGTGTCACGACCCGGGAGCACCCCCTAGTCATA